CTATTCATCTTTTGCACTGAAAAATGGAGACAAAACACTCACAATATATAGGTGCAAGAGCAAAAGGGAATGTCGTGATTCTGAGCACGATTCACAGTAATGTGTTTGTTGACGACAGCATAAAGAAAAACCCAAACACTGTCACTTACTACAACAGTACAAAATGTGGCGTTGATGTCGCAGATCAGATGCTGAGGAAATATAGTACAGGTAGTGGAAGTCGCAGGTGGCCTGTACATGTTTTTTTCCAACGTCCTAGACATTGCTGAACTCAATGCTTGGATTATATTCAAAGAATCCTTGGGCACCTCTATTTCCCGTCAAGAATTTATTCTTGCACTCGTGGAAGAACTACGAGTTGGTGCACTACGCAACAGATGCCCCCCAATTGCTCAAATACAGACACTTAAACGAAAGAAATGTGCATTTCAAAGTTGCAAGGGACAAAACAAGACTGTTGTCAGCTGTGAGGGATGCCAGAAACCAATTTGTGGTAAATGTGTTGCTGTCACTGTCAAGCGTTCATATTGTATCACCTGCGGTAATGTATAACAAACTTTGGAAAACATTGTGTGTTTATTCCCAATTTATTTTTTTTTTTTTTTAATTTTTTGCATATGTTCTATTTTCCACTTTTTGCATTTGTATCTTTTGTTTGTTTTTCATAGATTTTGTTTTTGTTTTTGTAATCTTACATTGAAAGATATTGTGTGCTAATTTGCACTAATTGCACGAAAAAAAATTCTAAAGTATAAAAAATAAATAAAAACCTCTAAAAACTCTTTTATGTGGTCATTTCAGCATCATTTCAATCATTTACTGTGTTTCTACTTACATTTCTTATGAGGGTCAAATTGACCCCCAATGGCGGTTTTCGGTTAGTCTGAAATTCAGCGTTCTAGGTTAATAAAAGCACTTATAATTACTATCGCAAATATAACTCTTTCAAGATGAAATTTCCAGTTTAATAAATATCAAACTTTTCTTTACTATTATTTAAACATACCACAATTCAACCGAAACATTACAAATGGTTCAAACTTAGTGTCAAATATTTAAATTATTTCCATACACCTTTACTTCAACTGAAACGTATACCGAATACCTACAAACATAAAATTCACAAAATAACTATCATTTAAATAAAATATCACTAAACCATGTACACGTCGACTTATTTTTACTTAAAAAAACATACCAGAATTGCACAAAAATGGCATTACGCACACTCTTCACTATATCCATGTACACTGCTTTTTTCTCATAAATTAGAAAAATTTCACAATCTGAATCTTTAAACCCGGTAAAAAGAACATATATGAAATTACCTGATCGCGAAAAAGTATATACCCTTTCCAAATATGAACATTTTCACATATAAAATAAATAAAATATCCAAAAACTTTTACCTCTAAATCATCTATTATATTATAAACGTCACCAACGAATTCATACTGCAAGCATTACAAATACTTAGTGTCAAATATTAAATTATTCCATGCACGTTTACTTCAACTAAAACGTATACCAAATTCCTACAAACATAAAATTCACAAAATAACTATCATTTAATTAAAATATCACTAAACCATGTACACGTCGACTTATTTTTACTTAACTTAATTTATACTTATTTAATTTTTATAAAACTTAATAAACAATCTTTACTTCTATCTCGCACAATCTTAAAAACATTTATTACTACCCCTTTCAATCCCACGAAACACCCATTTTCCTTCCACTCTCCTACCTCTCTGATACTTCCGCTTCCCAAACTTACTCTCATCAATTTCCAAAATAACATTCATACCACCAAGCATACCCATATCATTTTTGCAAAATTCCACGCACACTTCCCTACAAAAAGAATTCCAATCAGCTGCAGTCCTACTGTTAATTTCTAAATTCGAAATCCAATAGTCAACTGGCAATCTATTCACCCAATAATAAGAAATCAATAAAATCTCACCCATACTCAAACGACTTTCAGCAAACCACGTACCCTTCCTTACACTCTGTTTCACAAAATGTCCATTTTCACCAGATTTCTTGCACCGCCATTCAAACTTATCATTAATATCCTTCCTTCCACACAATCTCATTTCATTCCCACATTTTGGACATTCATACTTATCCACAATTAAACCTACACTCATGCACCATTCAACGAATTCTTTTGAATTATCACACAAATGCATTAAAAATTTAGAATTCACTTTAGACAGCGCCATACAATCCCAAAATTATTCAACCCTACTTCACACAACACACAATGAAGCTTAATACAAAATAATATACAGCCACAGATATTTTTCCAAATTCCCCCCTTTTCCGATTAAAGAACCGTAATTCGTCCATTAATGTCACATGACATATCTCATGATCTCTCATTTCCCTCACACAAAATAATGCATAATCGGAAGAGTACTTCTCACATTATTACCAAAGTCCTAGGTAGTAATCTTTATCGCCTCCAAAATGTTGCCAAACTACCATTTATCATATTCCAAAGATCAGCCGTTATTTACTCTTATGCTTCCATTCAGTTATGTTTAGCCTTTTATATAAATTATAATAATAAAACAGTATTATATGAAATTAACCTTTCATATAAATTAAAACAATAATCTTTAGATAGTTATTGACTATTATAACCCCTTTGGCTGATCTTTGGAATATGGTAACTGGTAGTTTGGCGACAGTACTCAGTTCCGATTATGCATTATTTTGTGTGAGGGAAATGAGAGATCATGAGATATGTCATGTGACATTAATGGACGAATTACAGTTCTTTAATCGGAAAAGGGGGGAATTTGGAAAACTGTAGTACATATTATTTTGTATAAGCTTCATTGTGTGTTGTGTGAAATAGTGGAAGTGTGCGTGCCATGTAATGAAGATTCTGAAGATTAGGTAAGTTAGTATTTTTAATAATTTGAGGATATTATTTTAATGCATTGTTCTAAATGTAAGGAGTAAATAAATTAATATGGTATTATTGGAAAATTGTTATTAGCAATGATTTAGTTTAAAGTAATTAGGATTGTAATCTAATTTTTATTAATTTAATGTATGTGCTTATTTATATTTTAAGTAGTCTTTTTTAATTTAATTATCGTGATTTTGTGAGTTATATGTTTGTAGTATTTTGGAATACGTTTGAGTAGAAGAGTTGAGTATTTTCATGCATTTTCGTGAAATTTTCTAATTTATGAGAAAAAGCAGGTACATGGATATCGTGAAGAGTGTGCGCAATGCCATTTTTGTGTAATTCTGGGATGTTTTTTTTTAAGTAAAAAATAAGTCGACGTGTACATAATTTAGTGATATTTTAATTAAATGATAGTTATTTTGTGAATTTTATGTTTGTAGGAATTTGGTATACGTTTCAGTTGAAGTAAACGTGTATGGAACAATTTAAAATTTGACACTAGTATTTGTAACCATTTGTAATGTTTGCGGTATGAATTCGTTGGTGACGTTTATATAGATAATTTAGAGGTAAAAGGTTTTGGATATTTTATTTATTTTATAGGTGGAAATGTTCATCCTTGGAAAGGGTATATACTTTTCTGCGATCAGGTAATTTCATATATCTGCTTTTTACCGAGTTTAAAGGTTCACAGATTTTTTTTTGCATTTTCGGGCAAATTTTTGTAATTTATGAGAAAATAGCAGTGTAGATGGATAAAGTTAAGAGTGTGTGCAATGCCATTTTTTGTGCAATTCTGGGATGTTTTTTTAAGTAAAAATAAGTCAACGTGTAAATGGTTTATGTGTATGTGCTATTCTGAAAAACGCGCGAGGAGTTTGCGATTGTGCACTTTTTTCCAATTTTGCAGTTAATATTTGTCATGATTAAGCAGTTTTGTTACATAAAATTTCTAGCATAAGTGTAATTCGACTAGTAGATAGTTGGAAAAAGTGTTCAGTAAATAAAAAGAAAAGAAACATGTCTTTACTTCGTGAAGACAAAATGGCGGCAAAAAAAAATAGAGGGTTGCTGTAGCAGAGTTGGTCGCCAAATTTTCGCCAAGTTACCATAATCCAAAGATCAACCTAAATAACTATTTTAGATCATTATTATAATTTATATTAAAAAGGCTACACATAACTGAATGGATTCCTGAATGGAATTCGCTATTTGCTACCGAGTTATCACTAAAGTATAATTTCATCTCGTTGGTTTTTCAAACATAACTTTCTATTATAATGAATGATGCCTTTTCTTTGAAAAAATTCTATTTCAGACTTTTTGTCATTGGTGATTCCCAAATTGTTAAATCCATAGGGTATCAAAAAAGGAATTAAAAATTAAACTAGTATTTAGTATTTGAATGGCGTCTTAAGAAATATAGAAGTATCTAAACTTACGCAATTTGAAATCAGCACATACACTAGATTTGGCGCGGTGTTAAATGGGCGTGTTTGCTAGATTTGGCACTTTTGCACATACATTTTCACTGCAATTTTTTACAGTCCTCAAATCGGAACAGTACCCATTAATCTTATACCTTTAAAGTGTTTTTAAAAAGTTAAACTCTTTTTGCTTACACTACAAACAAATAAAAAAAATTATTTGAACATGGTTTCTTGTATACTATTGCAAATACAGTTTAAATTTAATAATGATCAAGATAGTCTTGAAATAAAATACAATGAAATAAATATACATTACATTTAAATTGTCAAATACACAATAGAATGTAATGAAATAAATATACATTACATTTAAGTTGTCAAATAAGCAATTTAAATGTAATGAAATACACAGACATTTTAATGAAATTCTATATGAATATAATACACAGTTAAATTTCAAAGCATACTAAGGAAAAGAGCTTTGGTGAAAATGTGCCTTAACCCACACCTTTGGCGCGATTTTTCGCTATGGCTTGGGCCAGACTCACCCACATACATTGTATTACTTATAGTAACAAAAAAAAGGTGTGAGTTAAGGCACATATTTTACGAAGTAAGTGATTAGGTCAAAAACTTACGAGGTAATAAATAACTGAAGCGTACAAATAACGCTGGTAATATCATAGTGATTAATTTAACTTTGAGAAGAGCTTCATGTAACATTAGAATACAATAAACATTTTAAAGCAACTTGATTTTTCGCCTTGGACAAATAATCATCAAGATTTTCTGTTGTCAAATATTATAATACGGCACATGTACCTTCAATAACGAAATAATAAACATTTAATTACATAACATATAAGAATGAAAAATAAGATTTCTGATTAAATTAAAGGAAACATAATGCGGCACCTGCCGGTAATGCTATGGAAAAGCAATATTTAAATATAAAAATGAGTTAAAATCTGCTAAAATACACAGTAAACATCATCTGCACAGACCTCCTTGGACAAAACAGATCTTAATTTTTGCACTGACTAAGTCTTTCTGCACGGATGAGCGAAAAATCAAGCTTATCAGCCAAGGAAAGGTATATAGAAAAAAGGGGCCAATTTCGTGTTTCAGAGAATAATAACAAAAAAGAACTTGGTACATTTTATACAAGTTCAAGGTGATTTATATGTAAACAAATTTCAGAACTCAGTGAAGATTGAACCATATTGTTGGAGACGGCCGCTGCAGACAGACGATTACATAACGGTTCGGCGAAGGTCAACAGACAGACAGACAGACAAAGTAGACAGATGTCTTGTTTTGCACTCGCTAAGTCTTTCTGCCCCGATGGGCGAAAAATTAAGCATAGGTGCGAAGGAAAGGTATATAGAAAGGGGGGCAATTTCGTATTTGAGGAGAGTAAAAAGGAAATTCGTACATTTTTTTACGAGTTCAAAAGGCCAGAAAGAAAAGATAGGACAAAATAAAATTTAAAATAAATGGCCCAAAAATAAAAGAGAGGAAAAAAAAAAAAAAAGAAAGGGCCTAAAGAAAGAAAGGAAAAGAAGTATAAATATCCTAAAATACGATTGTGTCCATGAGTGTAGTTAAGGAGTTCCTCTGCAAAAATTAGTGCTTTAAGAAGCAAACTTTAGCTAGTTTAATAAAAAAAAAATCAATGATCCTACATGGTAATGTGTATGCCCTTATCTTGAGACCCTAACTAAAAAGACATATGTCATCACAGAGATGTACATAATATTTAACTAAGTAACATTAACTATTGCCGTTCCCAAAAATTCATGTATTTTCAGAAAACAGTAATTGACAAAGTCATAATCCATACACAGTGTGAGAGCATATCAACAAAAATAAATTATACAGTTTATTTTTTAAATATTAGTTAAATATAAAATTAATTTATTAATTTAACAGTTGTAATTTATTATAGTACAAGTTTAATAAATCCGTCACCCTGTATTTATTGATCATAATTCCAAGTTTGATACCTGAAAAAAAAAAGGTCGGGGATCTTAGTTACAAAATCACAATCTATCTCATCGATGGTCAAGAGATCCCATTTTCCCTCTCAAGAAATTCCTAAGAACGAAGAGGGGGGCCTCCGAAGGGTGTGAATTTCTGATAAGAAACGGACTACTACGATAAGGAATGTGGCGTCTCTACGGAAAGTTACGAAGAAAAAAACCACATGACTTGCTACTATTACTAACTGTTGTATATGCTAGAATCATATGAAAATAATAAATAAAGAAATTTAATTGCACTCTAGTGATAGAGAAACATATATTGTATAAGAACAGAATGTTTTATCTGAATATTCCGTGTCAGGGCCTGTTTTGGATTTCTCGTGTTGATAGTAAACAGCTAACAAACATCTGAAGTTTCGAAGAAGCGAAGTTTCCTTTTTCAATTGGATGAAGAGACATTGCATAGAAAGGTGAATTAAACTTTTTTAGAGAGTTGAAAATATTTACTGAAACAGTTATTTAAAAAATTTCGGAGCTATGTTTAGACACTGCCTCCAGCTTTCGTGATCCAATTGTAAAGAAGGAAATCCTCTCTGCCAAAAGTTCAACAGAAGGAGCGCTGCATCTGATTGGACTATTTTTATTATTCTTTTTTTTCCTTTAATTGCGCACTAAGCGGGGAAATTTCCTTTTCAATCAGTTATATGTATGTACAGTCGGTCACAAAAGTATTCGAACACCGGTACCCATTCAGAAAAATTACTTTTCCGTTGAGAAACAAAATTATTCAGTCTCCTGGTTCGAGAAAAAAACAAAAGTCCATCTTGGTTGTCGAAAAAAATACATGACACTTTTCCGTTGAAAAAAAAACTTCAAATCTTGGTTCGAGGAAAAAAACAAAAGGATGGCTCATGTCCAAAATTGGCTAGGTGCATGAAACAAAAATACAACATGACCTATCTGGGTGAGATGGGAAACAAAATGGCTGCTCACGTGATCCATTATTGCGCTCAGAGAAAACGCAAAGTGTGGCTGCGGCTCGTCTCGGTTCGCGAAGAGTGAAAACCCAAAACGGTCTGCAGTGTCTATCTTTGTTGGATGAGAAAACAAAAGGATGGCTCATGTCCAATTTATTTAGGTGTGGGAAAAATATAACGTGACCTATCTGGGTGAGATGTCTCCAGCGATCCAGTATAGGACTTAAAGGATAGGTTTTTGTCCCCATCTGCAATAGGTGACATCTATAAACAATTTCCATTGAAATCTCCTCGAAATATAAGAAAACAGCTAATTCGTGTAAGGTCGTGAAATTGTAAGGTATTCCCAAAGAATTCCACTTCTTGAAGAAGGAAAACATCCTAGCTGCAGATGAGGTAGAGAGAGAAAAAGCATGTTGCACCTTGGAGAGCCCGCACGGTTCTGAACAGAAAACGTGGAATGCTTTTATAGAAAAGAGTTGAAAGTGAAAGTAAAAGCCGATTGAAAATTTTTCAATTGGTTGCCGACTGGGAAAAAATTTTCAGAGCTCAGAAAAAAATTCTGAGATGTAAAAAAAAAAAAAAAAAAAAAAAAAAAAAAACACTTTTTGTTAATTTTTATCATGTCTTCTAGACATGATAAAAATTAACCCTACCCCCCTTTTGTGTGGGAATGTTGTCTCACTGTTTCTAAAATAGACCATGACTCATTCTAGGAATTATATGTTTTAGAAAGGATGAGTCATGGTCTTTGGGTTTCTCCTTCCAAAGTAAACAAAGTGAAGACATCAAATTAATAAAAAAAAGGAAGATTTTTTTTTTTTTTTTTTTTTTTTTTTTTTTTTTTTTTTCAGCTTTGGAAATATTTTTCCCATTCAACAGCCAAGAAATATTTCCAGCCAATACAATTTCATTTTTACTTTCACTTTCAATTCATTTCTTATATCTATAAGAACATTTCATGTTTCTGTTCAGATCAGTGTGGGTTGTTCAAGATGCAGCAACTCTACTCCTCCATCCCACAACCAGAAAAAAAGATGTTCTTTCATGAGGAATTCTTTTGGCTTTCGAAAACAATGATGACATGATGATTGTAATACATTTCTGTTCTCATGTCCCATGATTTGAACTCAGAATTATTTCCAGAACTCTGAGAATTTTTCCTAGTCAGCTCGATGAACCCAAATTTCGTATATTTATTTTTTAAGCCACTCGAGTTTCGACTTCCCATCCGTGTGTGCTGTGCATTCAACCGGGAGACACACATTCCCTGAGCTCTAAGAAAATGTTTTCCCAGCCCACTCAATCGCTGAAATGGATTAAAAAAAATTCTTTCATACATTTTTAAAGCTCAAGCGTGTTAGCTGTCATGGAAGAGCCTTTTTTTCCCTGAGCCCCCTGAGCTCTAAGAAAATGTTTCCCAGCCCCCTCAAATCGCTGAAATGGATTAAAAATAAATTCTTTCATACATTTTTAAAGCTCAAGAGTGTTAGGTATCATGGAAAGAGCTTTTTCCTTCCACAGCCCACGCAATCGCTGAAATCGATTAAAAACAAATTCTTTCATACATTTTTAAATCTAGAACCTGATAAATGGTTGCTGATGAAATCCAAACGAGGGGCCGTAGATTTTCAAAAGGGAAACATTTTCCCCTAAAAAGAAGAATGATTTCTATTCTGTGAGACATTAAAATGTGGAAAGAAACTTGTGTTCACAGAAGCTCTTTATAGAAGAGTGGTCCTGGGTCCAGATGAGATAGAGAAAGAGAAAAAGCATGTTGCACCTTGGCCAGCCGGCACGGTTCTGAATAGAAAACGTGGAATACTTTTATAGAAAAGCGATGAAAGTGAAAGTAAAAGCCAAATCGTCTTGGCTAGAAAATTTTTTTTTGGTTGCCGACTGGGAAAAAATTTTTAGAGCTCAGAAAAAATTGTGAAATGAAAAAAAAAAAAACCTTTTTGTTAATTTTTATCATGTCTTCTAGACATGATAAAAATTAAATTATCATGGTCTTCGGGTTTCTCCATTCCAAAGTAAACAAAGTGAAGACATCAAATTAATAGAAAAAAAGGAAGAGTTTTTTTTTTTTTAGCTTTGGAAATATTTTTCCCATTCAACAGCCAAGAAATATTTCCAGCCAATACAATTTCATTTTTACTTTCACTTTCAATTCATTTCTTATATCTATAAGAACATTTCATGTTTCTGTTCAGATCAGTGTGGGTTGTTCAAGATGCAACATCTCTACTCCATCCCACAACCACGAAGGAAAAGATGTTCTTTCATGAGGAATTCTTTTGGCTTCGAAAACATGATGAACATGATGATTATAATACATTTCTGTTCTCAATGTCCCCATGCTTGAACTCAGAATTATTTCCAGAGCTCTGAGAATTTTTCCTAGTCCCACTCGATGGCCCAAATTTCGTATATTTATTTAAGCCACTCGAGTTTCGACTTCCCATCCGTGTGTGCTGTGCATTCAACCTGGAGACACATTCCCTTCCCTGAGCTCTAAGAAAAATTTTCCGAGCCCACTCAATCGCTGAAATGGATTAAAAAATGAATTGTTTCATACATTTTTAAAGCTCAGCGTGTTAGGTGTCATGGAAAGCCTGGTTTTTTCCTGAGCTCTATGAAAATGTTTCCCAGCCCCCTCAATCGCTGAAATGGATTAAAAATAATTCTTTCATACATTTTTAAAGCTCAAGAGTGTTAGGTATCATGGAAGAGCTTTTTCTTTTCACAGCCCACTCAATCGCTGAAAATGGATTAAAAATAAATTCTTTCATACATATTTAAAGCTCAAGCGTGTTAGCTGCATGAAAGAGCCTTTTTTTTCCACAGCCCATCAATCGCTGAAACGGATCAAAATAAATTCTTTCATACATTTGTTTAAACCGCAAGACTCTTAGCTGTCATGGAAACTGAAATTTATGTCACGTTTGTGTGTCACACGTCGTCAACGGTATGTTTGAGATGAAAATTGAAAACCCGGTATGAAAAATCTCTTTAACTTCACTTTAGAAGAA